CCAAGAGTTTGCTGGGCAGATGGAAACCATTCTCATATCTGTGAGCTAAATTAGCTTAGCACAAAGACTGGAAGCTCTAAAGTTCACTAATCAGCACTATATCTTTTTTATTCATACAAGAACCGAAGTTTAAAAAGGTTGTTTGGGGTTATATGTCGGACTTTTTCTTGACCTCACTTCCTGGGATCTCGAGGAAGTTAATGTACGTGGCCAAAACGTAGTCAGGCAGATGACGCTGCGGGAAAACCAGCTTTGTTTTCAGCCTTTGTGCTAAGCTAAGCTAACTCTCTCTCTTATAATTAGTGCAACTCAAACTCAACTCTTCGACCATTCAAAACCTGGAGCCTACATTACCCAAAGTGCACCTTGATCAACGACAGTTCAATGAGATTTGGGTGTTATGCAAGTTGCAGCTTTAGCTTTCAGTTTTTTTTTGTTTTTTTTTTCCTTTATTGGAGAGGAACAGCCCAACAGAGACGGGAAAGAGGGAGAGAAAGAGGGGACGACATTCACCAGAGGTTCCCCGGGGCTGGAATCAAACCCTGGCCGCTGTTATTAGGACTCGAGCCCAGTCCACAACCTCTACCAGGTGTGCTACTGTTGGCGTCCCACCTCACTTCTTCTTTCTAACTTCCCAGAAACAAACCACAAATACAACTAATTTGCATAAACAGCAGTATGTAGCAGTATATTCTAGATTTAAATAAATAAAAACAGTATATAAATAAATAAAGTTAAGAAAAAAAACAACAAAATTGAGGAATTAGATTTCCAAACACATATTTTAATTCCCGATTTATAAGCACATCAAATATTTGTTTCTTCATTTCGTTTCTTTTTCGTTTCAGAACGAAGTCGTACACTGACCCTCTAGATGCGGCCTGTCACATTCGTGGCCACCGTAGTTTCTCCTACACACTTTAAACTGGAGGTTGAGGCGAAGGGGTTGCAATCTGCAGCTACACTGTTAGATGCAACTAAATCCTGCTCCTTTAATTATTTAAACTGAACGGAGGTTTTAGCCCTTGAAGAGACGACCTCGGCCTTTAACATCATCATCATCATCATCATCAAAAACTAAAAAATATCCATCGTTGAAATAATTTAACTTAACTGTTCATGTTTCTATGTTTAGAAATGTTTTGAATCACTTTGTTTTTTGTTGCTATTTAATCAAATTTGATGATAAAACAGGTCAAATGTTTGTATTTTTTTATATTTATGACTCAGTTTCAATACTTTTTTTTTTAATTATGATGCTTTATTGACTTTTATAATCTTTTAGGAATCTGAATTATTTCAACTAGGCACTGGTGGACCATTTCTATTGCAAAGGGTTAAACTAATAACAACAAAAGTGACAAAGTATTTACTGCATTTTGACCCTATTTATGCTTTTTTATGTGTTTTTTTTAATAGTTTTTCTTCTTTTTCTGATTTGTATAGCCTGCAGCACTTTTATCTCTTATCATTTATCAGGTTGTATCATATTTGTCTGAGTTTATACAACCTGTTGTCAAGAGGAATGTCTTGTCTTTTTACTGCAAACATTAATCCCCCGCTGCACACTCGCAGGTAACGTTTGTATCTTGTTACGTTTCCTGGTTCTGACTCTGGATTCCTTTTGTTAACTCTTTTATTTCTACAGTGTTATTGTTCTGTTGTGATCTCCTCTTGCAACTTTCAGTTCACAGTCGTAACATTTGAATCCTAGCAGGATCGATTGCAGCATCGACACTTAAACTTAATCTGGATGAGTCAAAGCAGTCACACATTATCCTGTAACGCCATGCCAAGATCCTCCTGTGTTTGCTGATAGGAGCTCAGTGTGAGGGCTTCAGTTACAACCAATAAAACAGCGATAAGATAGCGTTTGCTCTCTCCTGGAGTCGTGGGGGGGGGGGGGTAGACAGGTAGTGGAGCAGTGCAGGTTTGACTCTTTGGAGAATTTGGATCTCCAGTAAAGTGATGCAAATAATAAGGTCACCTCACGTCACACAAGGTTAACACGCAGCGATGGAGATGAAAGGCTGACACATGTTGAAACACAAATCAAGGCTCTTTGTCGTCCCATTCTTTTAATCTAACTACCAAGCTGGGCTTCATGTGTCTCTGCAGCTTCAGTCATCAATCATTTGTCAATTGTGTCATGAAATCAAAGACCGTATGAGCTCTTCAGACGTACGAGCCATGTGTTTGATCAGCCAGAGCAAACTCGTAGGTTTTGTGCTGCGTTGGCAGATACATTTGAATTTCTGATGCTCTTTGAAATGCTGCCAAAGCATATGATCTTTACGCCAGAGCGCCATAATAAAGCTGTTTTACAGTCGCCTACAGAACGGGGGGGGGAGTTGATGAAAGTGCTCACTTTCTGTCAGTGGATTTGCATTTTTCTGTTGGTTATCCGGAATCCTGCGAAGAAAACAAATATTCCCCTTTTTCCCGCCTCCCCCCCCAAGAGACGCACTCACGTTATTGCCCACAGGGTCGGTCAGTGAACGCATCTTCACCCTCATCAGACTTTTAATTTGGAAAGTGGAGTCATTAAAGTTTTGAGCAAGAGCTCAACTTCTTTGTTATAGTGCAGCAAACATTTATATTATTGTCAGGCTTTGGGGAGAGTAACAGATTACATGTAATGGAGTTATGTAATCAAAAATGGGGATTATTAGCAGGATTATAATCTGGTTTCAGGACATTTTTTGATGCTAAAAATCTTCAATTTACTTTTCTACATTATTCAGATAATAATCTCAAATCTTATTTATATTTATTTTCTCTTTATTTGCATATTTGTTGTTGAGGTAATCCAGAAAGTAATCAAGTTACTTTAATATTGTGATACTTGGATTAAGGTTTAAATCACTGACTACATTTTCTAACAGGTAATTAATAACTGTATCAGATTACATTTTTAAAGTAACCTTGATTATTGATCTTTCATGTCTATATGGGGCTTTTATTAGTGTCCTTTCAAAGTAAAAGCCTTACAATGAGTTAATTAATTCAATGACCTTGCAGGGAGCTTGCTGAGCCCTTGTACTCTATATAAAGAGTAATAGTATGTAATTTATACCCAGCAATGTAACGCATTGTGAGTGCTTTCATTATTTATAGCCACAGTGTTGGTTGGTCCCTGTGTATAGGGCTTCAATCCCACAATGCAAAGAGCACGGTGTGGGGAGTTGGTGGAGCTCTGCAGGAGAGGTGCAGGGGGAGCCAGGTTTCTACCAGCCCGGGAAGACCTGAGTCAAACTGGAAAAATAAAAGCCTGAATAACGTCCTATAACGAGTTCCGGCTGTGTGGCCTTCAAAATAAGAGCCACACAGATCATTTTGTGTGAAGCAAAACAACAATAAAACAGACAACGCATTGAATGTAGAGTGAATATAGAGACACAGTTATTTATGTGAGTTTGACGGAACAAGTAATGCTTTTCATTTTGATTGATTGGGGCTTTTTTTGTTTTAATTAAACAATAATCACCATTTAAAGCAGCCGTTCCCAACCTCTTTCCTCAAGGGACCCCTTTTCTATCATTAAATAAACTGAGTTAAGTGACATATTTTATGTATATTTCATATTATATTAAAAACTGTTCAATTAACCGATATAATTCTCTGTCTGTATTCTGTATTTTTTAATAATAGGCTTCAGTAGCTCAGTCTGTAGGGACTTGGCTCGGGAACCGGAGGGTTGTCGGCACAAGTCCAGCTCCGACCTCAGTGTGGAGTGTGGACTGGCAGCTGGAGAGGTGCCAGTTCAACCTCCTGGGTTCTGCTTAAGCAAGGCACCAAACCCCTAACTGCTCCTGGAACGCGGCCACGTGGGTGTGCTCGATGTCATGTCCATTGGGGATTAATAAAGTATCTTCTTCTAAACCACTGGCTCCCATCTTTTTCCTTAAGGGACCTCTTTTCTGTACAATGAACCCAAATATTAAACTCAGTAACAACAAGAAGTTTGTGTAAAACGAGTGATTTGGATGAATTTTGAGCAGATTATGTCCTGTTTAGGGAACTTTTTTCTGTCTGTATTATGTATTTTTTAAACAATCTTTCACAATCATACAGACTTAATAAACTTCTTACTCGACAAATTCATTATTTTCCTGTCCCTGGAGCTTGGCCAACCACTACGGGGTCGCCAGAACTTCACAGGGGAGTCGCAAGGCCTTCTTAATTTTAAAGCATGCTAGAAAATCTTTAAAAAATGTGCTCAATATTCCTATATCTCAGCATTTTGATCACTTCTGTGACGATAAGTAAATGTAAATTGTCTAATATGACAATGGCGAAGTGCCAGTGACAAGATAACCCAGATTTTGTCAAAAGAAGAAGCTTTTAAGTCGGTATGATTGTTAAAAGACAGAGAATTGTATAAAAAGTTCCAATAAATATCAGAAAAACTCATCACTGATCAATATTTAAGAAGAAATGCTAAAATTCATCCAAATCGCTCGCTTTACACAAACTTCCTGCACTTATAGCGTTCACTGTTTGGGTTCATTGTTCACTTTATGAGTTGTTCTGTATTCGCTGAATATAATCAAAGGGGTCGTCAGTTGACTCAACGATACATAAAGGGTCTCTTATCTCTTATAGAACGGGAGCTAAATATATATATGAGAGTCAGAATCACTTTTTTTGGGCAGGTATGTGTGCACATACAAGGAATTTGACTCCGGTTTCACGTTTCTCTCAGACTAACAGCATAAATAATAGTTATACTAAAAACAAACATTTGTAGACAGTAAACAACAATATAACCTGGAAGTCTGTCTCATAAAGCAGAAGTAATTAGTCAGCTTTTTTTTTATCAACTTTATTACATTTTTTACTCATTATACATATATTATACAACATTACAAAACCATTTTAAGAATAAAATGCACTCCTGTAATGTTACTTAACTACCTACAGTCAGCTGGCTTTTATTTTGTAAGCGCACGCCGGAAGCGCCGTGCGTACGTGCGGGCGGTTGACGTCGGTCCGGAGGATGCGCATACTCTCAGATTTAAGGGGGGAGGTTTGGAGCAGCTCGGACTCTCCGTCGTTTAACAGCGTTTTCTCCGGCAGGAATTGGTCCAAATACTTTGTGGGATTCACCGAAGTCGCAACTGTTTCTGTACGAACACACCGCCGGCCGACATTTTGTCTTTCGGGATGTTTTCTGTTAAGAGGGAGTTGGAAGAAGTTTCTTTTTTCTGTACTGGGACGCAGTTTTTCTTTTTCCTCGGAGGTGAGCGAAACGTTTTGGGATAAAAGAGACGACAGAAAAACTCCCGCACAGACTGCAGTCGCCTGGTTTCTGCTGGTTGGACCGGGGGGGGGGAGATAGAGAAGAAGAAGAGGATAAAAGTCTCAAAGGAAATGTAAAAACCCATTTAACTGCATAAGAAGTGTTACGTTTCTCAGCACGCACATTCTTTTCGTCTGGCGCACAAGTTTGGCACAAATATGCGCAAACCTGTTGGTAGTTTGGAGTAAAAGAGCTTCGATTAAATCTGGATTTACTCTTTTTTTTTTTCTTTTTCTTTTCTGGGGAGTTTTTCCTTATTATTCTTCTTCTTCAAGCCTCCAATCTCAGCTCAGTGAGTCTTCCTCATCCGACCACCTCTGGCTGTTTCACAGGTGAGTTACTATCCCTCTCACTCTTTGATTTAACTTTATTTATACAGCAGGTTACTATCCCTCTCACTCTTTGATTTAACTTTATTTATACACCAGCTTTCATACAGAAAACACACAACAACATGCAGCCTGAAAGTTGCCTCACATGCACTGAAAACCCCACTGAATACAGTGTAAATAACAAACAACAACAAACAAATAATGTGGGAAAAAAACAAAGATTAAAAACCTAACATTACTACAAAATAAAAGCCAGATTAAAAAGAGCCACTTTACTGTAAATTCAACGTGTGAAAGCCATTGTTAAACATTTTAATGACTTTACATGATTATCTTGTTTTAAAAAAGGAGATATTTAAAGAATTGTGGCTTAAAGTTATTTAATTTAACATGTTTTTCTTAATAAATCATCTGCTATAATGTAAAAACAGCCTGTTTACACCAGTATTTTGCTTTCTTGTAGAGTGTTTCATGTTGTAACACCTCCATCTCCTCCATGCTTGATAATAAAAAGGCCCAAATGTTGCCTGAAAGCTGCGTTAATTAAGTAAAATCTAACTTAAATATCCAAATAAAGGTTAAATATAGGATTATATAAAGATTTTATTTTTATTCTAGACTGCTTTTTAAAGTCAAGCCATGAGAAAATATTCAAGAATTATCACAATAATGGAAATTCACCAGTGTTTTTTTATCGCGATAATATCGTACATCGTCCCGTCTCTAATGAAGTTTAAAGATAAAATGTGACCAACCAGTTATAATGACGTACAGTGGTGCTGTAGGGATGCTCTGTGGCCCTGTGGTTCCCAACCTGGAGGTCACAGAAGACTCACAGGGGCCTTGAATTTAAAGGGGTGTAAGAAAACTTGACAAACATGCACAGTAAGGCCTATTATGTCTGCATTAAAATAACACAGACGGTATAAAAAGTCCTCAATACTCATAGGAAATGAACTGGTTTTACACAAACGGTAGTACAGTTTATCAGCTGTTCTCTACTCTTACTGTTATACATTGAATATAAAGTGAAATATCCATAAAATGAGACAGATAGTTTTACTTTTAATGATAGAAAATGGGTCATTTTTAAAGGATAAAAGTTGCTCTGGACCTCCAGATGTAAGAAAATGAGGATTTTTTCCAGTAAAAATGAACATTTCTGATCATTCCCACTAATCACGGGTCGCATTATCTGTCAGAATAATCTCAATGTGATTGTTTTACCACATCATGCAGCTCTTTTAAAAAAGAACTGCTTTGGTTTTCTTGTGTAGGCGCCTTTTAATCAGATTAGATCATTAACTGTAATGAAGGCTGCCCACATCAAGGCTGAAGCCTAGAAAGCAAAATGTTTAAACCGCACACGGTGGCGTTAAACAACGAGGGCAAGTTTCATGGAGCTCCATACCCATCCTGTAGTGATCGAACACAACCAGCGAGTTCTCAGACCTCATTACATCGGCCACGAGAGTCTGGGAGAGTTATGTAAAGCTCTAAATGTTACGCTGTAAGGGAAGAGGAGAGAGGAGGAAGATGGATGGTTTAGGGAAGCAGCAGGTCCACAGGGAGTTCACCAGGAGGGAGGGGGGGGAAAAAGTTTTCTCCTCAAACATACAATGGGAAGTGAGGAGGAACAGTCACTGCCCTTTAATTTACTCTGCTGCTCCCCTGGCACGGAGTTATTGTCACTGTACGGGAGTATTTATTATAAAGGCTCAGTGTGCCATGCTTCAGGTTGAGGTTCTGTAACATCTCTACTTTATTTTGGGGCGGGGGGTGGACATCCACAGATGCTCACTTTGAATGTGAGTGTCGACCAAATGGCTCAGACAAACAGCAGAAGAACAACATGCAGCCTGAAAGTTGCCTCACATGCACTGAATACAACTGTGCAAGGTGCTGGGAATGGATACAGTATAAATAACAAACAACAACAAACAAATAATGTGGGAAAAAAACCTAAAGAACTAGCATTACTTCAAAATAAAAGCCAGATTAAAAAAGAGCCACTTTACTGTAAATTCAACGTGTGACAGCTATTGTTCCACATTTTTTTGAATTTACATGATTATCTTGTTTTAAAAAGAGAATTGTGGCTTAAAGTTATTTAATTTAACATGTTTTTCTTTATAAATCATCTGCTATAATGTAAAAACAGCCTGTTTACACCAGTATTTTGCTTTCTTGTAGAGTGTTTCATGTAGTAACACCTCCCGTCTGCTCCATGCTTTCAGTAAAAAGGCCCCAATGTTGCCTGAAGGCTGTGTTAATTAAGTGAAATCTAACTTAAATATCCAAATATAGGATTACATGAAGCTTTAACGTCGCCAGAATAACTGCGATACACGATATTATCACGATTAATCATGAAAATAAACTTTACACTTTTAAAAAGTGGCACCAAAACTAGACTGCTTACAACCAAGAAGTGGCTGTTTTTGTGAAAACAGGAGCCTGAGGGATGTTGGAGGCTGGGGGGGGGCAGCAATGGTCTGATGCTCTTATGTCCGCTGAACTGCAGCCGTGTGCAGACTGTTGCCTGTTGCTGGCTGGGAGTGCGGTGTTAACCGAGGGGGGGAGGAGGAGGAGGAGGAGGAGGAGGAGGGGGCTCCAGATCCAGAATTTGGGAGCTGAGGAATTTTATGCATGGATGGCAGTGAACAGTAATTATGGTGCAGGCCATGTTATGGGTTCGGCCTGTAACCTTTGTCTTTTGTATAATGAGGGAAGCTAAATGTGTCTCCTCACTAATCTGTTTAGTTTAACCCCCTTTTTTTTTTTTTTTTTTTTTTGCCTGATTTTCTGTCAAGTGTTGCCGTCTCTCCTGAAACAAGTTGGATTATAACCAAACGGGGATTCTGTAATGAAGCAAAACGTCTAAAATCCTCTCAGCTGCAGCTCTGCATCAGCTTTCTTCAGATTTAGATTCACACATTTATTAGAAAATGTACTTCCTGAATAACAACGAGCTACTGAAGTTAAATTCATTATCATTCATAAATAATATAAATCTCAATATATCACCATGCAGGAGTTATGGGTCAATACATACTGTAACTATGGTGATATATCATGTTTTAAAACTAAACGTTTATAGTGTTTTTGTTAATCTATACACTAAAAACCAAACACAATATAGCGATATGATCATTTTTTAAATATTTTCTTACACCCATAATCTCAAAATGAAAACTTTTAGAAAGTGGGAAACACAAAATCTGTGAGAATAAAAACCTTTACTACACAAAGAAAGTTTAAATTCATGACTTTCTCCATTTTTACTGAGATTTTCATGTGTACTCTGGTATTTATGGCAGTTTATTATCAGTTTTATCTGCTAAAAAGTTAAAAACGTGGCGTAAAATGATGTGAATCGTTCAAATGAATGCAAAAAAACCACGAATGTCATGCATTTAATTTAATCCAGTTTTAGTTGTGTTGCACCAAATCCTGACAGACTCTCAGGACACTTTTTTTCAAACAGAGCAGGTTTTCTTTATAAATAAAATAATTTATAACCAACTATTCCCACCGTTAAGCATTTAATACGACATCATTATATAAAGAGATTAACATGTGTCTCAGCATTTAAGTCATTTGTTTTAAGTGTGAGGCGAATATAAAGCAGAACTCTCTTTATTTTGTCCCTCGTGTCCTTGCTGTAGATTTGAATGTTTCGTCCAGCTGGGCGGGTTTTAATCAAACTGTAAGAAATACACAGGAGAGAAAGAGAAGAGAGAGAGAGAGAGAGAGATTTATAACTGCACTGTCACGTCCAAGTGTCCAAATAATCCAGAGTTTTCGAGGCAGATGTAATTTACAGGACATCAACTGAGCACTGAGGACTCAAAATATGTATCCTGGGGCCTTATATTTCACTCTTGAACAATAGAAATGACACTTAAGTACAAAATAACAGTAAATTGTGAGCAGTGAACGTCACTGGGAGTGACATTTTATTCTACATAAAAAAAACCATTCTCGTATTGATGCTTTAGTTCACGGTCCTGATGCAGATCCCTCAGATTGTCACAGAACTGCTGATGTTACTTCAAACTTGGGGCTTGAAATCGAGAAAGAAGCCAGTTTTTGATAAAATGTGATAAAACCAGCGTTATGATGAAGAACTGACGCTCTGGGCTGAAGATCTGGTTTGGTACAGACCCCTAAAAATGTCACATGATCCAGATTTTACATGTTTTCAGTGGAAATCATGATCCCTGCCCATCATTAATCACATTGCAGTCGTACTTTATTTATAGGTCTGAGATGTTTGCTGCTACAGGGACTGTGATACGTACAAATGCAGCAGATCCCTGTGTGTGAAGTACACTAAGAAACTTTATAAAACTAGATTTTTATGTAAAGAAATTGCAGTATATCGCCTCGCTTACAGTATTGTAATAAATCGAATAGTAACCCCCAGATTATTGTCAATATACATCCCTTGTAATATCTGTAAAATAATCACAATATGATTTTATTTGGGGGGGGTCAAATGGAGTTTTTTTTAAGTACAGTCATTTATATTCCTTCCACATTACTAATATCTATGATATGGAGCAGTAATATGAGGCTTGTGAGTCCAGGATGAGTGTGTGGACAGCTAGACACACTGTGTGTTTTACTCTTTAGACGGGAGATGACTCAGTGTTGTGTCATACTTTCTGAAACATCTACTCTGACTCCTCTTTTATCGACGGTGGCCATTTGTGAAGAGGGCCGGAGGGGGGGGGGAACGTGGTCGGTGGGCTCTCTGCAGTTCCTTCTGTCTGGCGGCAGCACTTTTCTTGGAAGCCTCCCAAAACACTGACTCATTGCTTACAGAGCCTGCGATGACCAAGCTTCTTTATCCTCCCCTCGGACCCCCTCCTGACCCGGCTCAGCTGCTGGAACAGTGGACCATTCTTGGAAAGTGAAATTGGTTTTTGAGGAGGAACACAATGACTGTTTCAGAGGGCGAACTCTCACTCTCACTCAGTCACTCACTCACACAGGCGATTACGTCTTAAAGGAAACCACAGCTGCAACGCGAACACGACTGTGTGTGTGAACATGTGGACCCACGCCAAGGTTGTCTTTGACTCAAATCTTACACAATCTACTCACGAGTCTTCATCGATGAGACCCAGCGTTTGTTTTGACCCCTTCGTGACAGCTCGTGGGAGCAAATGGTTGTTGGGGGTGGTCACTTTGTGCTCAAAAACCAACTGTTAGGTGATAGATCTCTCAGCGTGGAAATGATGGGCCCGGCGGTCTCGCTCTCCACAAGGGTGTCACGTAGCAGGCTGTAGTTTTCTTGGCCTTAAACAAATTCCTCAAGGGGGGGTTTTGGGTTAGGGGCATGTGTTAATCTCTGCGGCCAGATGCTGCAGAGGTGATGATGCGAGCAGATGTTGCACCCGCTTGCACAGTGCCCCTGTTTTTTTTAGGAGGGTGCTGCACATCCTCGGACCCCTTGGCGGACTGGTCCAGTTGAGACGGGATGGTCTCTGAGCTCCAGACATCTCCGCTGTTTGTTTGCTCAGAGATATCAGAGCGTGCCTGGTGATCTGCAGTTTCTTATCAGTGTTTTTCGTACAAGCAGAACCTAAATTAAAGTTCCTACCTTGAACCTTTTTGTACACGTACAGAATATTCTCTTTCCTTGTCAACAAAACGTGTCTGCTGCTGTTTTACAGAAACAGCCACTGGCCTGGTTTCACTCTTGTGTATATCAAAGTTTATATTCCAGACACAAATATTATTCCATGTAATCAAATGTCCTCGTTCTGAGCAACATTACACTAACAAACATCTCAGAACTAGAGCCTTGATTGGGCCCGAACCGAAGCCTGAATCACGTTTCATGTCGGGTCCAATCAGGTTCGGGCAGAGAATCAAAGCTCTGCTTAAAAAAAGGCTAAAAACTTAAGCAAGTTCTGCTTCTTACATGCATTGAAAACTCTATTTTTACTCCTTAAACTACTTTATTGGGCTGAATTTAAGAATTTGTTCCTTCAACTAACATTAAGAATAAGTGAAAAAGCTTACAATAAGACCATTTTCTTGAACAGTGTAATAAAATAAGTGACTTTGTGTTAAATTAAAGCACCCGAAACACTTTTAGCATTTTTATTAAAACAATGAACCACTAATCAGCTGCTTCATTTCCAACACTGTTAAACTGAGACGTTGTGCAAGTGGTCATAATCAATAAGGACAATGATCTTGTTCCTCTGCTGGGATATTATGCAATCATTATTGTTACTGGTTCAATCTACCTCCATATTAGCTGGAATATCTTTTAGTTTGATGTATTTTCTTAAAACCAGATTACTTTTCTAATGTAAAACATGCTTTAGAAGATTATTTTTCTGTTTAGTCAGAAAATAAGACTAATTTCCCAGAATCGAGGCTTGTTTACTTTCTTGAGATTCCTTTGTGCTGTGCACTTGCGTTGTCCAAATAAACTTATCTCTCTTTGTTGCAAACCTGCGAGAAAGGAAAGCCTGAACAGACTTTGACTCACTGTGTGTTTTCTCTCACTCATAAACCGACCTTTTGAAGGCACGAGGCGCGCTCACACGGTCACGTTTTCATCTGTTTCTGTTATTTTCTGTTTGTTTTTTAGCGTAGCACTGTGAATGACCCGCCGCTGATGCCCCAAAGGTCTGAATGGAGTTCCAGTCGCAGAAAAGCCAACAGTTGTAGCTCCCTCAGCAGGATGCTGATGAGGCCAAGTATACTTCTGTTTCTGGCTTTATTCGCCCAGGTTTTAAGGACGCAGTGCCGGCCCGCCAGCGCTGATGAAGGTAAGATTGTTTGATAACTCACTCGGACTGTATTTGCTGTGTTTGTTCCCTACGACGGAGTGTTAGGGCCAGACTATTTATGGAAATTATGAGAAAAAAGTCTTAACATTACGATTTTATTCTCATAACATTACACCTTTATTCTCGTAACATTATGACTTTTTTCTCGTAATATTACGACATTATTCTCATACTATTACGACTTTATTCTTGTAATATTACGACTTTATTCATGTAACATGATGACTCTTTTTCTCGTAATATTACGACTTTATTCTCGTAATATTACGACTTTATTCTCGTAACATTACGACTTTATTCTCGTAACATTACGACTTTATTCTCGTAACATTACGACTCTTTTTCTTGTAATATTACCACTTTATTCTTATAATATTACGACTTTATTCTCATATTATTACGACTTTATTCTCGTAACATTACAACTTTATTCTTGTGACTTCCAAAATATTATTTGTTTATTTTTCCTCTTATTCTGGCCCTAATACTCCGTCATAGTTCCCAGCTCTGGGTGCTGCGTTATTAAAATATCACGCAACTGTTTGAGCTTTAAAGTCCGTCTTATCTCGACTCCTGTCTTGATAATCAAAGCTTTGTTCTTTATACAGGAATGTAACACTAACACACTCCAGGCTTTGGTGAAGTCTCTCCTTTGTAGCGTCACTGCTCCCCCCCCTCCCCCGTTCGCCTGATGTTGTTTGAGTGCACTCTGTTTCTGACTCAGTAACGCCTTTTTCCTGACTCACTAAAACCGTTTATTACCGACTGAACCTTTTGGTTTTATTTAGTTCTTAAACGGGATGCTACATCTTTAAGATTTTCTATAAAGAATTTATCCCGTTCTGGCTGTTACACAAGTTCTGTAAAAGAGGTGGAGGGGGGAGAGAGGCACTGAAATCGAATCCTTAAAAATGTGTGTCTTGGATGCAGTCCAGCGGTGTAATAGCTGCCTGGACTTGTGGGTAGATGGGTTGGATGTTTACACTCTGCAGTCGGAAGTGGAGCAGCAGCAGAAGAATATGATAAAGCCCGGCATTATAATTAGAGTAATTAAGCAAGAGGGTCTCTCGGAGCTGTAAGCCTCTAAAATAAACTTGGTGCGGCTGTGTTTAAGCCAGCAGTGGGACAGGGAGGAGTAAATGACTCCCATCTGTAGCCCGAGGGCAGCCCCTGCTCCTCTCTCCTCCTTTGTAATGAAAAGGTATTTGTTGTCACTGGGAGAGGAGTTAACTGCCAGGGAAACTACAAATTATCCCCCTTTTTTTTTTTTTTGGTTAAAAAAAGAAAGAAGATGCTACTCTGAGCCCTCCCTTTATCCTCGAGGATAAGGTTTCTGAGGAGACTGTTTGTCTTCTAAGGTGAGCCATAAATTTCCACCAGGGGTGGGGGGGAAGTCTGATGCATTTACACTCCACCCAGCTCTTAATCACCAAATGGCCAGGTACTATCTATGCGCCTCTGTGCTTCTCCTCCTGCTCCCCCCACTGACTTTTCCTTGGGAATGCTTCACTTTCCCCCTCCTCCTCTCCCCTTGCTTCCCCGCTGGGTGACGGATGGCTTCAGCTGTCGACAAACAATCACGGCAGAAGCATTTGGTTGCATTCCTTTTGTCTTGGTCGGGGAAACGAAATAGTTATATGGAAATTGTCGTGTTTTATGCGTGTTTCTTTGTTTGTCTTCGGGGGGGTCTCTGTTGTGTGTTGTTCACATAAGAAAAGAGTATTCCCCGAACACATTCATTGAGTTTCTACAGGGGCCACATGCACAGACATTCAAATGAAATATTCTCAGAGAAACATTTCACTGTCGGATAAATCTTTTTTTTTTTTTTTGTGGCTGTGACGGTGAAGTGACAGAAAGTTATTTATGTTGTTGTCCCCGGAGGATTTTGTTTTGACTCGATGCTCTGCTGTCAGTCAGAGCCACTGACCCTTCAGTGGAGGGCTCTTAAAATCTAGAGCTGCCACAGTCCTGAGAAAGACTCTGTTCAGACATTGACGGGGGCCCAGAGGAGCACGGCTCTGCTGACGGCTCTGAAAGCGGAAAAAACAAGCAAACTGACTTAAAAGGTCCAGTGTGTAGGACTCAGTGATTTAGATCCAAGAAACTCCAGGCTACTGTGGAGACAACCGTTCCTATATTCAGGTGATTAAACACTTATAATATTCATAGGTATGTTTTTATATCAAAGGCCTCAATGTCACACACTTTTCCAGAATCAGAATTTGGTTTGTTGCCACATACGAGGTGTTTACTTTAATGTTTCTGGTGCATAAAAATCAACAGAATAATCATAATCAAGAAGGAAAATTAAAAAAACAAGTCAATAAACATTCAAGGATATTCTACTGGGTATTAATAATGATCTGTATGTGACATTATATTGTAACTATTATGGTGACACAGAGCAACTTCTATGCTTTTAATGTTTAGTTTAAACTCTTGTTGTCACTCGTAATTCACAGATAGATGATTCGTCTGTAAGAAGAAACAATAAAACCGTTATCCTGCTAATCATGCAGCATGTGCTGTCTGACTGTGTTTGATTCCTTTCTGTGTGAGACAGCAACAGAAACTACATCAGCAGTAAGTTTTTTTGGTGTTTTTCAGAGCTCCTGATTTCCCCTGTTTGTCCATTAAAAGCTATAATGTAAGGCTAAATGTGGCTGCACTCATTTGAATGACAGTGGAGCAGCAATCCTTGTAGCTCCCGAGTGTTAATGCACGCTGATTGTCAGCAGCTCATTTAGGAATGAAAAGCTCCTCCACTGGAGTGCTTTCAGGAGGGACACTCGCTCGGTGGAGTTTTTTTGGGGCTTGCTAATAGGCATTGTGCTATTCTTTTGCTTCCTGCCAGTCCTGCCTTTTGTCTTTTATTAATCCCCCCCCCCCACGCACACTACTTCTACACGTCACCCACCCCTTCACTTTGCTTCTGCTGCAGAGGAAGCTTTAGCCGTGGCCGTGTTTCTCCGTGTGCCACCACAGAGCCTCAACCAGCCCCGGCTTCACTGCATTCAACCATCACTCCAGTGAGAGCAGGAAATCCCAGAAGTCATTCACGCGGCATATTGCTTCCTATCTCGTAGCCAGAGAAGGTTCCATAGACTGGCGCCAACTCTTCCCTTTTTTTAGTTGGTCTTGAATTTACACACACTGGTGAGCTGGTTTAAAAAAAAAAAACCTCTCTAAAAAGTGTTTTTCTGCTTCGCAAACATTCCTTTCATGATTTTATGTAATTAGGCTGATTTTGAACTACGTCAATCAAAGTTTTCCAACCGGTTGGAAGAACACATGAGAGCCTATTCCAGATGAAAATACCGAGCTTAATCCATTTTAATCCAATCATAGCAGCAGCAGGAGGATTAATTGAGATGAAACATCCTCTTATTCAAAAGGAAACACTAGAAACTTTTACCTCTCCCGTGTGAAGAGCTGAAAATAAATGTACTGTGAGTGTTTGTTAGTCTTAATTAATATTTCGAGTTAATCAGGAAAATAACAGTAGTCGGGCTGATTGCGTCACACCTCACTCCAGTTTTAAGTAGGTTGTCACAGAAGCACAAATGGTCCCGACTGTGGTCCCACAATAAAGCAACAAGCACATTTTACAGCTTTTTATGGGCGTTTTATGATGTCTGCAGCCAGATTAACAGCTGGGATGTTGACACAGTCTTATCAGTGGCATCTCCATTTAGAGGGGCAGGGACATGCTGGCCCCGGCCGCCCCCCCCCCCCCCCACCTACATACAGTGCAGAGACCTTGCGTTGAAGGTTCAGGTCGGAGAGTGAACGCCTCTCTTGCTTTCTGCCCCCTTTTTGGTTTTGTTTTTGAGGAGAAAGTTGATCCTACCCCCTGGCCCCTTTTTCCTGCTGGGATTAAGGGCCTGTCAGACATATGTGATCCAGGAAATACCTTTACTAGGCCCAAGTGGGGTCACCATAGCAACTGGCACTAGAACCTGCCGCTGCAGGCCCTCGCTCGCTCGCTCGCTCGCTCCCGTGCACATGCTCACTGGCTCGCTCTCAATGCTCCCTCTTCCCCCTTTATTGTTCGTGGCCCTTTGTTGTGATGGTGGGAGGGATTAGAAAGGTTTTTTGCTGATGTTGTCCCGAGGTTATGTTGTATAGATCTGCTTCCTGTGGCGAGGAAGTGCGTTTACAAACACACAGAGCGCTGAGAACAGTACGGAATAATCTCATTTTAAAGGGATTGCTCACCGCTATGGCATTTGATTGTGTAGTTTTATTCGGCTTGTTATGATGCTGAAGTGTAGGAAATGGGGGGGGAAAGATGAGTAAAATGATTTTACATTATAGCTCTGCCACAGGGGAGTTTCTTTGTGCTGCTGCTTGGCTAAAATAAGAGAACTATTCCAACTTAAGCTGAAACAATCAACAAAAAGATCCATCAATTAAGCATTTGAGTAAAACTTGCATCCAGTTTCTGAAAGGACGGGACTGTCTGCCTGTCTCTGCTTGCCTTATCTCATTGTAAACTGAATACTGCTCCTGAGTTTTTGAGTTTTGTTTGGACAAAACAAGACATTTGAAAATGTCATCTTGGACTTTGAGACAGTGAGTGTTTATATATAACACATTTATGACATTTTATAGATGTTTAAAGGTCCAGTGTGTAGGATTTAGGAGTATACAGGGTACTCCTTTTTTAAGAAATCATTATCCAGGAATTTTCAAGGGGGTTTTTCTTGACAATACAGGACAGAACTTGCTCACAATGGGGGTCAGCATTTATGGGAGACATTAGTATGAGCTTGTTCTCGTGGCGTCCCTTAGCTGTTCTCACAACAGCCAATTTTTGTGCTGCGGCTTCAGTGGAGCATAAATAATAGTTCAAATCAAGTTTCATCTATTTTATATAGCAGAAAAATTCCTCATCTACTGGAAGTACTTTATCATTAATAACAAAATAGACTTGATGTCCAAGGTTTGCTGCGAGTGGTGTGAACAGCTCTTCACTGATATGGGAGCAGGAAAACTAGTCTCTACATTTCCAGGTTTTCCAGATTTCCCAGGATGCATTACAGATCACAACTGCTTGCGTCACCCTCCCCCTTCCATATTATATTCCTGCCAATAGATCCTCCTAAATGTTACACACTGGACCTCAGCTGGGCGATACAGCTGAAGGGATAGAAATGAAATATAAGTGTGATTACAGTCGATATTGGTAATTATTGATCATTTTAATGACACAGGTAATATTCTACTGTTAATGTATTGTTGCTGAGTAGCTGAGGAGTGTTTCCATTGTGGCTGACGACAGTCCAAAGTGTGGAAGCGTCCGTGTTTATTCACTCACAGCAGGCTCCGTTATCAAGGCCTTCGATAGGCTGTTTATTAGACGAAACGCCGTCGTTGTGTGCTTTCATGGTGGCTTACGTTTAGAGCTTAAAGTGCAACAATCAATATTGATAAAACCTCTATTGCTGATATATATATTTCTATAGTTTTATGAACGCTACGATCAGTTTCAGCCCTAATTTCCACCAACCCATGGATGCTAATTGGACCGCCGTGGGCCTTCTTGGCGTGGAGGTGTGATCCTAGAGCAAGAATGTCAAGCACTGACGATCTTTACCTTTTTGTAACTAGACAAACAACACCATTGTGATGGACAACGTGTCAGCGTAATTGGGTTACCCCCTCCCCCTCGCGGACTATGTAGTCATTTAGAACGGGGGCTCAGGTGTCTCGCTCCGTGACACCTCCCCTCTCTTCATTCCTCTAATTGAATTTCACCTTCCTTTCCCAAGTAGCTCCTTGTCTGCCCAACGATAGGGCCTTAACTAATTTGGGATATGATTTATTTTTTGGGGCGGGGGGAGGTTGGGCTAGGTGGTTTTTGCCAGGAGGAAATCAAAGGAAGGACTTTTCTGCTGTCTCTCAGATCCTGTTGTATGATTGAAGTACCTTTCGATGTGTCTGCAGCACAGATACAGCCCAGTTTTGTGTGATCCCCCGTCAGTTACTGATTATTATTTATCTATATATATATATATATATATATTCTTGTGTTTTATAATTACATAAAGTGATAAATAACCTCACGGAGCTGTTGAAATAAAACCATTTCTTTTCTCCTTTCCCTCGGTAGTCTCTGTGGAAACACAAGCGGAGCTGTTCACGCTCTATCTCGGGGACCGTCTGGACCTGACCTGCCCCGCCAGGGACTCCCCCCACGCCGTCAACTGGACCAAAGACCACGTGACGGTAGTGGACGGGGAACACACGCGCATCCGCAACGGGCAGCTGGAGATCGAGAGCGTGGAGCTGACGGACTCCGGCCTGTACGCGTGCACCACCTTCGGCAACCACAGCGACTACTTCAACGTCACTGGTACGGTCACAGAAAGAGTGCAGAGATCTTAGGGATGCACCGATCTCACTTCCTTCAGACCAAATACTAGCAGAGGACCTGCATTTGACTAATGAGAGGTTATGTACCGGAGTAGTTTTATGATTACAAGTATGAGTACATGAGCTCAGTGTCGGACCCGATGCTGCTGTTGGTGTCGTATAGAAATTAAAGCAGCTTTTGTGGTTTGTTTTTAATAGTTTTGTCACATTCTTTTAACTCTTAGTGTAAAAGTATGTATATGTATGTATATTCTTCTCAAAGTCTGCAAATAGAGATCCCGACCCAGAGGTTATTGTAGCAGGAAGAAGACAGAGAGTTTAAGTATTTAGGCGTCACACTAGACACACGAGTCACATTCAAAACACAACTTTTAGACACATAAGGAACTATTTAACTGTGGATCTTCTTACACCAGCTGGACACAGACAGGTAGGACCTCATTATAGTCAGTAGAAACACTTTATTTATTTAAACACTTATTTTACACAAGAAAACTGACAAATTAAGGCTTGGAAATGTAAATTATTAAGGATTTATCAATAAACAAACAAAGTGGGGATATTTTATGAATCAGTGTCTCCTTTATCAGACTATTCCAATTTTCAAATTAACATCTAATCAACAAAAAACTAAAACTAGACATGATTTGTTACAAGTAAGGAGAGTGTATCCAGTAAATAACATACATATTGATCTTTGTCTCTAGTGTTTATGTAATAGTTAGTGATTGATTGTGCGTGTGTTTACTTTCTGTTTCACCAGTTGACACCCTGGCCTCGTCTGAGGATGACGACGAAGATGAAGAGTCTTCGTCAGAGGAAGCCAAGCTGTTGGGCAGTCAGAAACTGCTGCGTAAGTGTGCTGATCTCTTCACGTTACCAATGCTGCGGCAACAAATGGTCATAATGGTCCAATTTGTCTATAGAGCAATAAGACACTCAGGGCTTCATCATCTGGCTCCTGCTGCCCGCTCTGCCCACAAAGAATCCAAGCATGCCGACCTTGAGTTTGTACTCCAGAGCTTTATCTCTCCCCCCCTCAAACTAATACATGACTTTTATTTTAAAGCCACAGCACCTACAAGAAGGATTTTCTTTTCTATTTAAAGATTTCCCCTAGACTTTTAGATATTTTTACAAATATATGTGTAAAAATAATGTTTTTTTTTCTGTAAAAATAAAGTATAATTTGCACATTTGAAGGTTTTCTCTACCTCATTGAATCTATGAATATGCACTAAAGGTTTCCTGCTGGACACAAGACGTCTCCTCCTTCACTGTAAAGTCTATTCTCTGTATCTGTGCAGTGGTGAATCACACTCAGACATCATTCAGACATCACACTGTAGGAATGAGAAGAAACGGATATTTGAGTGGAGGGGGACTTTAAAGAAAAGCCCTTTGACTATAATTTAGAAATCTTTTTTTGTTTTGTTTGGTTGAACATTTGATTATACAGTAATCCATCCATTGTCTGCGGGTTATCTGAGGCCAGGTTGTGGTGGCAACAGGCTAAACAACGTAGTCCAGCCGTTGTTTTCCAGCTTCTCCTGGATGATGAGATTTATAATCTATCCAGTGTCTTCTTGGTTGACCCCGGGGCTCCTACCAATTGCCCGGAAAACCTCCTAAAGGAAGGCGTTCTGCTACACTTACAAATGAATCTCCCTGTGGTCGAACATAAAACTCGTTACGGCCAAACCAGGACCAGCACAGAGGTCCAATAACAAAGCACCACTCTGGTTGGGAAAGCCAGTCCTCCCAGTCACCCCCCTCCAGGTTTCTCAATCGTTAGCCACATGAGAGTCCCCCCCCAGCGGTCTGTGAACCGATCTTTAGTCTGTCCCCTTACCTGGGAATGCTCAGTTGGGGTGTTATGTAATGTTCTCCATTAGAGGAGCTTGAGGTTTAGTGTTCCTAAAGTATGTTTTTAGCTTTAGTTTTTTATTTTTAGAGAATACACACAGTGTTTCTGCATCTCTATCTAAACTGCTAATTGTGTTTGTTACTCTGTTAATTGTATTTTTCCGTCTTTTTCTGTAGCGGATGCCCCGCAGTGGGCATATCCAGAAAAAATGGAGAAAAAGCTCCACGCTGTCCCAGCCAGTAAGACGGTGAAGTTTCGATGCCAGGCCAGCGGCAACCCAACTCCCACGCTGAAGTGGTACAAGAACGGCAAAGAGTTCAAGAGAGACCATCGCATTGGAGGCTTCAAGGTGAATAACACAAATATCTTTGTAATTTTCGTTCACCCTCCCTTCAAAACTCTGTGATGTGTCAGTGATCTCATCTCTACATTAGACCCCCCCCTGCAGTAAGAAACATTACTGCAAGTGAAAAACAGAAGCAAGTTTCACATTTGACTTGAGAAACAATGCAAGATGAAACCCAATGCCTCAAAAAGGAACGTTGTTCCATAGTAATGATACCTCCAGGTGGGCAATCCTAGCCCTTCATCTCGATGAAGGATAACATTGGCTGTCCTCATTCCGGGTATCAGTGCATCATCTTCTCTGTAATTACATCCATGCAGCAGTAAATTTACCATGATACCTGCTGTATCTGTGATATATGATGTGTGGCGTGATTACACAATGTCTTCCCATTTCCAGGCAGGCTGTATAACAGCTGGGGTTGTAATACTTGATAAGACTGTTTACTGTAGTCTGTAGATTTACTTAGCAGAGGTGTGGCCTGTGAGGGGCTTTGGACCGGATCTGTTGTACACCAGTTTCTGTCACCACCACTTCCCCTGAGAGATTGTATTAATCAGCAACCTTATCAATGGGGTTGGGCATCATTAACGTTCTCTGATAACCGCTTCTTAAAACAATACATTTAACTCTGCACCGGTGCCCAACCGTTGATGACGTTAAACAGCTTTTTGTTTTATCGCTAAGGCACATTTTAACTTGACAATGAACAACATATTGACTGTTAACAGTTTAAAGGAACGACTTTATCAGGAGCAAACAACACGTTTCGCCTGCAGCTTCCTCAGATTCGCCATGTAGAGAGGGTGTTGCTGTAACATTAACTAGCGATCAGAAGGAAACTGTGATTGGCTCTGGCAGATACTGATCGGCATGAACCAGCATATGTAATATATAGATCAGGAGGCTGTAAACATTGTATGAATTATGTATTAATATCTGCATTCAGTGGCAGTTGCCTCACAGGTGTGAGATGTGTGTGTGCATGTTCACCCGCCTCCCTCCCCTGCCTCTGCTCTTCCCATCAAGGTGTGTGCTAGCCTTGTCTCGTGCTTCCCCAGCCCATCTCCCTCCCCCAGCTGGGACACATTTAGGAGTTTCCTCTCAGTTGCCTGCTCCCTTCACCCCCCCCACCCGCCCAGCCAGGCAGCCAGGCAGCCAGGCAGCCAGGCAGACAGTGTATTTAACCATCTGGCTGCTGTTTCTGCAGTCGAGGTGCAAAGGTCTGCATCAGCGGCCGAGGACGTCTCTCATCCCTCCCACACTGGTGCTTTTATGGCCGGGCTTCTATTGTTCATATCGTCTGCATCGAGAGGTGCAGGAGGGAGTGGAATAATGTAGACCACATGTATATGAAGCCAAGCAGAGCACATCTGGCAGCAGGCAGCTGGACTCCCTCATCACGTTTTTTTAGCTAAATGAGGGAAACCGTACGGCTCAGTCTGTGTATATGCATGTTTGATGTTGCCATTGCCTTAGAGGTTCGTTGGTTAATCACTCACTGCCGGTCTTGGCAGATTTATGGAAGAAAAACTATAACGTGTCTTGGAGAAAAAAAATAGCCAGACATCAGTTGGTGCTAATAAGACAGGTTGGCGCAGATGTATATAAAACAGGTACCCCCATTTTCCCCGTGGTCTTTGTTGGGTAAGGACAAAGATCTGCTGATTAAAACATCGGCTGGTGGGTCACAGGAAGAGGGAGTACTGGGTTATCGTGTTATCGTCACATCACACATCATTGACCTTGTTAGACGTCGCTTTAAAATGTACAACAAAAACTGATTTATGACGATTCACATTGGGAGAAAGCAGATGGAGAAAAATGTATGTTTTTGCTGTTAGACCCAGAATGGCAGACTAGCTCCACCCCCGTTGTCGTGATTGGCCTCGTTTCTCTTCATTAAAGTTGATTTTAAAACATTTTAGTTCTGAATTGAAGAACTGAAAGAGCCATTTTTAAGAGTTATTAAGTGTTTATTCGGGCTGCGTAAGTGCTTATTCTTCTATGGTGGAAACTCTTGTTCTGTACGACACCCACTGTAACTCTGGCTTTTTCCCCTCAACTTTTTAGGTCCGGGACCACATGTGGACCATCATCATGGAATCTGTAGTACCCTCCGACAAGGGTAACTATACCTGTGTGGTGGAAAACCAGCACGGCAGCATCAACCACACCTACCAGCTAGATGTAGTCGGTAAGTGTTGAATAGTCATCAGGGATGTCCCGATATAATCTCAGAGATCTGTATCGGTTAAGGCATGTATCGACCGTATCGAACCCAATCTGATCCTTTGTTTTACGCCAGCTGTCACACAGGTGATTTTACTCACGAAGCGCTCATGCACAGTGCAGCCATCAACTCTCTCTGCTCGGAGGAGAGACAGACAGTGCTACAAAAGCCATTAAGAGTCATTTATGTAATGTAATCTGCGCTAAAGATGTTGAGACGAGGAAAATAAAGAGAATACGGATAATTTATGTGCCGTTTATAGGTTAAAAAAGGTTAATAAGTAAAAAATAGAAGCATTAAGGAACAGCTTGGATGCCGGCAGCTTTTTTTTCTCCTTTTTAAGCTATTCACCTGTATCCTGATCAATGTTTAATCACCTGTTGAATATTCATGAGGCTTCAGTGTTGTGTAGGATCAATTTCACAAATACCTCCCATCAGATTAACCAATCAAATGTATCCCAAGAGCACAGGGGACCCGGTCCTCGTGCGCGGTGAGCTGGGTCTTTTCCATTTGATAGATTGAGTCTGTTTACTTGCGGCTTGAGCGATGGATCCATGTAGAGGAGAGAAGTGATTACTCCTCCGGGACCTGCCCCGTCTCGCTCTTACACCACCGCTTCTATAAATCAGTCCCGCTCCCTCCGTCACTGTCGTCCCCTGGGCTTCGCCTGGCCTCCAGTAGAAGGTCTAGACCCCGATGAGCAGTGAGATAGCTTCAGCGAGGGCAGACTTTTGTCAGTTTAAGTCCCCACAGACGTCTTGGTCAGAAAAGCTTTGGACAGTTGACTTTCTGCCAGACGCTTGGCTTGTAAGTTTACTTTGGAGAGTTATCAGTCATCGAAATGGAGCCGCAGGAACATTTTGGTTTCACAGTAACGGCTCCAGATCAAACACTTAACTTGCTTCCTCGTCTATTGTGGGCAAGTCTTTAAAAAATTACATGAGCAGAATATAGCAAGGGGGAAATGGCCGCTTTAATTCTCCATACGAGTCTGCAACTAGTGAAATCACACAGTTATCAGATCAGATTGTACAGGCGACCTTGTCTGACGTCTGCCCCGCTCGTTTCCAGTAACAAAACCTTAACGTGTCGTAGGCTTTATTTGGAAATCAGTCATCCGTGTGTACTTTTGAATTATTACACATGCTGTTTGTCTTTGATATTGCGTGTTTGCTTCACCGCTCACCACCACTCTTGTAAACGTGTGTGTGTGTGTGTGTGTGTGTGTGTGTGTGTGTGTGTTGTTGCAGAGCGCTCTCCCCACAGGCCGATCCTGCAGGCCGGCCTGCCCGCCAATCGCACCGCGGTGGTGGGCAGCGACGTGGAGTTTGAGTGCAAGGTGTTCAGCGACCCTCAGCCTCACATCCAGTGGCTGAAGCACATCGAGGTCAACGGGAGCCGAGTCGGTCCCGATGGTTTACCGTATGTCCGTGTCCTCAAGGTAGGAGCTTACTGTGACCGACCCCACCGCAACAACATGCTGTTAAAGTCTTTATTCTGTAATTTGGATTAGATATCCTCAGGGTTCCCACACATCCTGGGAAACCTGGAGATTTAGAGACTAGTTGGAAATTGATTAAAAAGACTAAATATCCTGGACAGTTTTTGTATTTTAGCCCCTCCCTCACATCTCCTCCTCTCCTACATGCACAGCAGAGTTAATTGTATTCATAATTCATCTTCTAGAAAGTGAAAATGTTAGTTGTACATAAAATTAACATAACAATGAACACCTACACTTTCTAGAAGATTAATTTTCTGTAAAATAAAATAAATTCTACTTGATTTGAATTATTACTTACGGGCTGTGGCCAAATTATGTTAGATTAAAACTGCAGTAAACTTTGTCATGAATAAAACTGGAGTTAACTTTATGAATACAAGGTCTACCAGCAAGTTATATGGCCGTGTGTGAGTAAGTGCTGTCCTGTATTGTCAAGAAAAGTCCTGGAAAATGATTTTTTTAAAGAGTGGGAACCCTGATTGTCTGTCATGTCTTCTCAGATACCCAATACTGTCTGTAAAAGTGTGTGTGCGATTCCAAAATAGGGCTGCCCCCCAGCTGAAGATGTTCCTAATTGACTAATCGCTGCGCGTTTTATATTAATTTAATTATTTAAATATATATATAATTCAACAGCCACCTGTTACAGAGTGTAGTTACCCAATTTCCCCTCAGGGATGATATCTATCTATCTATCTATCTATCTATCTATCTATCTATCTATCTATCTATCTATCTATCTATCTATCTATCTATCTATCTATCTATCTATCTATCTATCTATCTATCTATCTATCTATCTATCTATCTATCTATCTATCTATCTATCTATCTATCTATCGTAGTGGGGGGGTAAACCCCTCTCTGAAATGATTTACTAATCTAGAGCTCGACATTTGCTTCAATACATTACATTTTTCCTGTTAATCATATTTGGACGCCCAGTTGCGGACGCTGCCTCGCCACAGCAGTTTTCGACCTGAAGACTATAGTCGACTATTCAGGGGGCAGCCCTATTCAAACATGTGATCTTGCTGTTGTGTCTCTGAACGTAACCCACACGAAACGAGTTCTTCTCTCTAGTTTGATCCTGTGTCTGTGTTTGTCTGTGCTGCACATGACGTGTTTTTATTTCCAGCATTCTGGGGTCAATAGCTCGGACGCTCAGGTGCTGACGCTCTACAATGTGACTGAGGAGGAGAGCGGAGAGTATACATGTAAAGTGTCCAATTATATAGGAGAGGCCAATCAGTCGGCCTGGCTGACTGTCACCAGATATGAGCCCACAGGTAACCACCACGCAGCAGCACAGGAGCGGAGGCGCTTCTAGGACCACCGGGACAAAAAAAACTTAGGGCCGTATAACTCGAGACAACCTCAGCTGTTTCTCTCCTCCCTCCCGCCCGTTTCTCCCTCCCTCTCTCCTGCCTCAGTGCTCCTGACTGTAAATGACGCTATGGAAAATTCCCAGCAGAACAGTTGAAAGTGTTTAGTCTCAGGTTTATGTTGGACCCGTTCTCATTCCTGCCCCATGCCTGTGCTGTGCCCTCCTAATAAGGGCCTCTCTTGCCATCTTCTATTACTCTCGCTCTCTTGCCCTTCAAAGTCCTCTGTGCACGGCTCACAGGCTCTCTCTCTCTCTCTCTCTCTCTCTCTCTCTCCCTCTCTCCCTTTCTCCCCTCTCTTTGTTTTTTTCCAGCTGTCCTCCTCTGCTTACCTATGTTTCACAGACCTCCTGTTGTTTGTCTCACATAGTTGTACAGAAGTGTGCCCTGTTCTGCTGCGGAGTTTTCCATGTTGCCCATCTCTTGCATGTAGAGATGAGACTGAGGTATTTGATGTGGTGATGGGGGGAGGAGGTGACCCAGTGTGGGGGTCCGGCAGCGCAAGACTCACCCTAACCAGCTCCTCCACTAACAGATACTGGAGGGCTCTTTCTGACAGAGTCCTCTGCAGGGGCTCTCTGTGGTACTTTTTTTGGGGGGCAGATGGTGTTGGATGGTGGAGGAGAACGCTCCTCCATCCCCTTTTCTCTTTCAGAATCCTTTTACTCATGGTTCCCTTTCCCCTCTTGGGCCTCTTGTTGGGTCTGCTTCCTTTGTTATTTTCTAGACCGCTGGCCTTAACACCACGGACAAGGAAATGGAAGTCCTCCAACTGAGAAATGTGTCTTTTGATGACGCTGGGGAGTATACCTGCTTGGCGGGCAATTCTATCGGGTTCTCTCATCACTCTGCATGGTTGACCGTTTTTGAAGGTATCAGTGGTTCTGTCTCTCTCCTATACTTCCATTATTTCCTCCTTTTCCTAACCCCCCAGCCTGGCTTTCCACCTTCACATTTGCCAGAAAAAGGCGTCTTTTCAGACTCTATTTCTGTTGAAAAATGTGAGAGGAAGCCAGGGCAAGTTACAAGTACTAAAAACTCCCCCCACCTCCTCCTCCTCTGTCTGTCCTCAGCATGGCTCCTGCTCCATCTAAACTCTCTAGATGGGAGAGTATGGGCCATGCTCTGCTGTCTCTCTTAAAAGAAATCAGTAAATGCCAAACAACCCAAGAGCTGCCTGCTGAACCATGACGAAGAAACCAATATATATAAAAAAAAAACCAAAAACAAAACAAGATCAAATAGAAGAATACTTAATGGTCTCAGCCAGGTAGAAGTTCCCGTTTCCAGGCGGGTTGTTTGGCAGCTCTGATCAGATTTCACTTTGAACTGTCTCTACCACTCTGCTCTTTAACTGGTGTTTGCATTTGATTTGGTGTAAAGCTGATTTTCTTTGACAAGCGCTTACAAAATGACATGTATTCCTGATGTCATTTCCTGCTGTGAGCACAGCGGCCGGCTTTGATAATTGGCTCTCTGGTAGTGGATGTGTCTCATTCCTGAGGGGTTGGAATGGGCATTTGTCCAATTATCAAGCTGCTTGTCAGTCAGCCTTTTTTTTTTTTCACACAAGTGCAGCTCACTTGTGTTGCTGGTGTTGGTTAGGGGTGTAACGGTAACATTTCAGTCGGTGTGGCACACTCTGGTTTGGGATGCATTATTGTTTCGATGAAGTGCTTCCAGCTTCAGTTTGGTTGTATGTGTTAAACTCTGATTATTAAAATAATTTAAGGCAACAAAAGGCCGTATCTAACGTGTGTCCGTGGTAATACTTCCTGCGATTGGAGATTTATTATGAGTGTAAATGTGCATCTTAAATTTAAATACAAAAAAAAAATTACAAATGGGCAACTAGAGTTAGATCTAATCCTTTTTTAATTTAATGATGTATTGACTTTCAGTTAATTAATTCAGAAGTGTTTTTGCAACAGGAATGACAGCAGTTTTGGGATTTTAAAGGCATTGTGTACAATTTTTTTCCAGAATACAGAAAAGGTCTAATACAGTTGACCCTTCTTAAGTCCCGCCCATTTTTGCTCTGTGCTCCAATAACAGTTGAGCAAGCCTCGGTCAACTTCCTCTTTTCCTGTACTTAGATATGCTATATGCTAAGCTAATCTATGTTGAACAGACAGCCATATTTTGAAGATGGTTAAAAGATAAGGGCTAGCACATAGCATATCTAAGTACAGGAAGTTGACAGAGGTCCTAAAAGGGGCGGAGCCTCTGAAGGTAAATTAACTGCATTATTAATGATAGGTAGACAGACGTCTGTACGAACAATAAACACATTCAGAACTTCAGATATAGCTCCTGATCACGAAGCCTCATCCCAAACCAAGGAAGCCACCGAACTCTCTTTTTCACTAAAATATGGAATCCGTTACCCCCCCCACCCCCCCGTCCCCTCCAGAAATGGAATAAATAAATGTTGGTGTTTTCACTAAATGGGAGGAAAAAAACAAGATCTGATTGGACAGTGCTTGCATTTAATTTGCAATTTAGGACATAAATCTGTTACGTATTACCAGCACCAACACACAACTCGTTTTAAAGCAGTGTAATTGATATTTAATTGGTCGAGCAGTTAAACTACTGTAATGAGCTCATGCTTTTGTGGCTTTAGTAGACATGAAATGTGAATTTTGATGACATGCGGTGGTGAAACAGTGTGTGTGTGTGTGAAGTATTGCTGCTCTGTATAAAAGTCAGATCCTTTGCACACTCTTTTATATCCATTAATTTAAAGCTGTGTTTATTGGATTGACTGTATCAAACTGTCTGTTTCTCAGTGATTCAAGAGACTATAACCACCAGTCATATTAGCATTAGAGTTTTTATGTGTCCGTGTCAAAGGCTCTGGTTTTTAGATAGACCAGCTGTGTGTGTGTGTGTGTGTGTGTGTGTGTGTGTGTGTGTGTGTGTGTGTGTGTGTGTGTGTGTGTGGGTGTGTGGTCAGTGTGTTTAATTGGTGTTGCTGTGTAATTGAAAGCATGGGTATGATTGGTGTGATTGGGTATATAAAGTCAGACTATGTGTTGTAGTTTGATTTCATGAATAACAGCTGAACCCACCCCTCCCTGCACCCCCCCAACCCCCTCCCCATCCAGCTGTCACGCACTATCCTCCAGCCAACCACACCTACCTGGAGGTCGTCATCTACTGCGTCGGCTTCTTCTTCATCGCCGTCATGATTGCCATCGTAATTATCTTGAAGATTCGCACCTCCTCGAAGAAGAGCGACTTCAACAGTCAGCTGGCCGTCCACAAGCTGGCTAAAAGCATCCCGCTGCGCAGACAGGTAACAGAAAGTAGATAGGGGGTTTGGAATATTTATACCTTTTTTCACCTCTTCTTTCTCTTTCCACATGCTCTTTTTTTTTTTTTTGTAAATTCAAAGTGTTATTCACCTGTGTGGTTTATAGAGTCTCCCTTTTATGCTAACAGCATGTACTAAAAGCATGCATTCAAAGAGCTTCCAGGTTCATTGTAGCTCCACGAGGGGGTGTAAATGTAGGTAAGTATTCGAGGAGTACTTCCTCTCTGTGCGTATGGTGCACCTGTGTGGCTGTAGTTTCTCATTTTCTGACTGTGTGAGCTCTTGCTGCTGGCGTCTGTTCCACTACGAGGGGAGTAATTTAAGTGTTCTTTACCTCAGGTGTCTGTGGACTCGAGCTCCTCCATCCACTCTGGAGTGATGCTGGTTCGTCCCTCCCGCCTCTCTTCCAGCGGGTCTCCCATGCTGTCGGGGGTGTCGGAGTATGAACTGCCCCAGGATCCCCGCTGGGAGCTTTCACGAGACAGGTACGTCCTGGATAAAAACCTCCAGACGGGGGAACAGGCAACGGCAGCCTAGAGGCTCAAAAAGTGACCGTCTGAAAGGAAAGCTACTGGTTTGAAATAGTCAGCAGGGTTTCTGCAGGTCTAAAATCTAATAATCTGAATTTTTGGCCTCAAATTGTCTTGAGATCAGCACATTGCGCCACTGCACCTGGTGCAAGAAATGCTGAATGTTGATGTTAAATGTGGAAAAAAATGTACTTAGTAATTCCGGGACTTTCCGTCATACTTTCTTGCCAGTATGAACGAGAAATAGGTCTTCAGTTGAAATTATTGTGGTGTTAAAAAGTCTTAAATTCAACTTGTTGAAACCTGCAGAAACCCAGTTGCAGTCAGAGAAACTAGCTGCACGAGGAAAGTGAAAGTTTCTCTCACTCTTCCTTAGAAAGCTGACATTCATGATGCACAGAGCAAAATCTAACTGAACCACAGAGGCAGAATGTCTAAAATTGTACTTGAAATCAACTTGAAAGTCATTGAAAACATTATTACACACACATAATACGAGATGTTGAGTTAACAACTGTGTCTCCCCCCCCACAGACTTGTCCTCGGGAAGCCGCTGGGTGAAGGCTGCTTCGGTCAGGTGGTGATGGGAGAGGCACTGGGTCTCGACAAAGAGAAGCCAAACCGTGTCACAAAAGTTGCAGTGAAAATGTTGAAATGTAAGTTAATTTTTTTGAAGGTGTGTGTGTGTCTGTGTGTGTGCAGTAGTCTCTGCTGGAGTACGTCATTGGCTCTGCAGAGAGGAAAGCTCTTCAGTGTATAGTAATAGATTTTACAGAAGGCTCCAGGGACGAGAAAACCTCTAACACCAAAACTGTGATGAGCAGATACTAAGAGACATCTGCCATTGGATCCCAGCCACTGCGCAAATGGGAGAGCAGAGTAAAAATTTATGAGAACCCCTTGACATCCCATATAAAACAGTGTTCATTAAACTGCACGGAGGAGTGAGGATGTAGGGAAAGTAGCATTTATTGTCTAGTACTTTTAAGTGCCTTTCCCCAGGGAGCTTTCTCCAAGACAAACGCCAGCCTGAATAAGTTAACGTATATACTTTTGCAAGGTGATTTTTTTTTTTTTTTTTGCGTGGCCTTTCTGGGCCCTCTTTCACACAACACAACATCGACTAATTAGCCTAATGTGATTTATTTCCCTTCCCCTCCAGCTGACGCCACAGAGAAAGACCTGTCAGACCTGATTTCGGAGATGGAGATGATGAAGATCATCGGGAAGCACAAGAACATCATTAATCTGCTGGGAGCCTGTACACAGGATGGTAGGACCAGACAGACGGGGGTCTGTTACTGACCTGCCCCGGCCTGCTCAGGGCCAACACACACACACACACACACACACACACACACACACACACACACACACACACACACACACACACACACACACACACACACACACTGCTGTCCCTCTGTTTTGCCGTACTTTGAGAGATGTGTATAAAAGCATGAGTAAACGATTCTGACACCAGCTTCCGAGCTCGCAGTTTGAATCGACCACGGCTGCTGCCATTTCTCACCAATCATCCCTGACGAAAAAAAAGCTGAAGGAAACTAACCTCTAATGACCCTGCAGGGCACATCGCTCTGTTGCTTCCACACTGAGCTCTTTGTTCACTCCACTTATTTACCAACGGGTTGCCAACTAATTCACAATGCTCAAAGCATTTATAATACGTGAAGGTTTAACGCATTTTCTGTGAATCCTGCGCCACCCAGCATGAAGATTACGACTATTTCTTTCTACTGCCATTGTTTCTATTCTACAAGATAATCCCCATATCAAGTCAGATTTAACTTATACAGCCCAAAATCACAGATTGCCTCAGTGTACAACATTCAAGTCTCTCCTTTACCCTCGATTCAGGTAAGGAAAAAGTTGCAATAGATGTCGAGTGTACAGAACAAACCAACAAAATCATATTATATACCATATTTTTCTGATACATGAAAATATATGTGAAGAATTTTGATCCAGGAGGACGTTGAAACAACTTCAGATGTTGCCCACAGAGACCCACAACCTCCTCTCCACCTAGAGATCTTGAAGAGGACAGTGCATAGAATGAATAAGAAGAAAATCACAATATATACAGATACTAATGACAGAAAACATGTTAAAATCATCAGTCCATCAACCGGCGTTGGCTCATGTATTCCCACATGCATGTGCGCTGTGCTTCTCTTGTTTCCCCCCCCCCCCCCTTCCTTATCTACCTTGAGCTGTCCTATCAAAATAAAGGCAAAAAAGACCCCAAAACTAGCTGAAAAAAACTCCTAACTCACCGCAGTTAGATGTAAAAATATTCTGTCTCTGCAGCTGTTTTTCCTCTCACTTGTTCTTGGCTAGGTGTGTGTGCTGCACCGCTGAGCCATACGCTGTCTTTCTTCAGAGGCAGACCATTAAATTAACAGAATAAAAAGACCAAAATCAGGCCAAAGAAACAACCGGCAATGGACTTAAATCAACCGACATATTTGTCCAATCACAACACAGACAACACAGCATTCACAGGAGAAACAGACACAGACAAACACGCAAACTAAGGAGACAGGAAGGAAGAAAAGAAGCTCAACTCTCCTTGGGGCGTCTTGATTTAAAATTGTATGGAGATGATTTTATGATGATTTATTCTTGTATTTCTTCCACTTGTTCCCAGGTCCTCTCTACGTGATAGTAGAGTATGCATCCAAGGGCAACTTGCGGGAGTACTTGCGAGCTCGCCGCCCACCGGGCATGGAGTACTGCTACAACCCAGACCAGGTCCCTGTGGAGAACATGTCCATCAAAGACCTGGTGTCCTGTGCTTACCAAGTGGCCCGAGGGATGGAGTATTTGGCCTCCAAAAAGGTAACCGTGAAGCACAACCTGCAGTAAATATTCACACTGATTCCCAGGACCTTCAGTTCCTGTAATGTCTGTTGTTTTATTCGTCCAGTGCATCCACAGAGATCTCGCCGCTCGCAACGTTTTGGTAACGGAGGACAACGTGATGAAAATAGCTGACTTCGGCCTGGCGAGAGATATCCACCACATCGATTACTATAAGAAGACCACCAATGTGAGTGTTCAGTTCAATGTTATTCACAAGTATGAGAACATAAAGGGTTTGTGCATAGTAGCAGTCACACTGAGTCAACGCCGAGAAACGCCTGCGAGCTTCTTCAGGCTTCTGTAAGATACGATTCTTTCACATTTCAAGTTACTGTCTGCTGTTTTAAGACTAAAATATCTCCAAATTAAAGACGTGATGAGTTAGCCAACTGTTAGTTGCTCACTCAGTTACTCAAACAATTCTGGGAGACAGAAAAATGTGGAGACTACTGGATATCTTTGTTAATTCATTAATGTGTGCTGCAACTTTTTGGCTTAAAATTATTACACATTTATAAATCATAAAACCATCAGAGTGTGGAATCTGAATCTGATATCTAACATGTGAATTAGGTCAGATGAATCAGTCCCAACTCTAGATTAGACCTGTTTTTATTGAAGAATAGCAACGCTAATGAAGCTCCCCTAATTTGGTGAGAAACAAGTACCATTAGCTGTCAATCCTTCACAATAAAAGCATCCCACCGGTCCGCCAGTGGAGCTCTTTTAATGTGAATCAGCAGCAACAGGAAGTGTTCAGTTTAGCAGGAGCTCAACATCAGTAAACTTGAAATTAATACAATAAAACTAAACTCCAAACCACAGAGATTCAGTTAGAAGCAACTAGAGCACTAAAGAGAGCCGCTGCTGTGAGACTGCAGTGTGAACGTCTTTACGATATGTGTTTGCACGCCGTGTCTGAAGTGTAAACACTGTACCTAACGCTGCAGATGGCCGTAACACACATTCCTCTTCTGCAGGGTCGTTTGCCAGTCAAGTGGATGGCTCCCGAGGCTCTGTTTGACCGGATATACACGCACCAAAGCGACGTGTGAGTATCACGTTTCGTTTGCTTTTGCACATTCGAGTCGTGGTGGAATGTGAGGGAGGAAAACTTTCAGTCGTGCAGAAAATCTCACCGGCTCCCCGTCTGTTTTCAGCTGGTCATTCGGGGTGCTGCTGTGGGAGATCTTCACCCTGGGGGGCTCTCCGTACCCCGGCGTCCCCGTGGAGGAGCTGTTCAAGCTGCTGAAGGAAGGTCACCGTATGGACAAGCCCTCGACATGCACTCAAGAGCTGTAAGGAAACACACATACCTAAAAATCTAACGTGATGCTGATCTATTAAACTTATTAGATAAATACATTTGGACATGGAGGGAAACTTTTTGCTTGAGGAACTCTCCTTTCCTGTAATAATTAAGCAACAATTCTAAGATCATCTTCAGAAAATTACCCCCTAGAGATGGGTGTCGTTAAGATTTTATTGATCCTGTACTAGGCGCTTTAAAACAATTTCTTTGCGTGCATGTGAATTACTTTCACTAGATGTTTGGAAATATTACCTGTTTCCTCCCTTTATATTCAAAAGACTTGCTGCCCTTGGCAACAAGCATTATCCTCTGCCACTCTAGTGAAGTGTTATCAGACGTTTGAGCATTTATTTCCCCAATAACGTTGACGCTTACTGATACTACAGTCTTTAATAATTTAGCCCCGGGGTCCGTTAAATACCAGGTTCTGGTATCTCTCTGATCCCCACCCACTAAAACCAGTGATTCTGAGTTGGAGAATCACAAGCTGCTTCCAAATTCTCCTTGTTTCACACTAATAGTGCTGAAATTATGATGTGGGACTCTGACCCAGTGGCATTAAACCTATAATATGTAACATTTCCTCATTAAACACTGTATGAACTCTAGCTATATGTTCTTTATGTTGAGTTGAGTTCTTACATTATCTCAAATGTTTCCGACAATGTTCGAAATCTGTCATTTTATTCAGGTAACGCTGCGTTTCACTGGTCGTCAGCGTTGTGGTTGTCTGTCAGAAGCTGTCATACATTGACTGTTTATCCAGTCTGAAGCCACATTGTTACCATCCACTGTTTAGATCTTGGTGCTTTTTAACTCTAGATTTGAACCGGATGAAGGATTTTAGTCATCGGACGTCTGGATCTTAAGTTATCAGAGAAACAAGCTGAGCTAACGTTAGCAGCAGCTCGAGAGAAACAGTTAAGGTGGAACTGCTTAATTTAGCAGGATAATTGGGCTCCCGGTAGAAACCACCTGAACATGAACACTGAAGGAATCCTTGGTCTCTTATTGTTTTGATGTGAGAGACATCCTAGCGTCAGAAATTACACACTGTATGTTTAAGAATAACAGCATAGAAATCTTCTCGCTGATGGTCCTGTTAGTTAATGTCAGTCATACAGAGGCAGCAGTATTAAATTGAGACTCCTTGTAGTACATTTAAGGGTTTGAAAAGTATGATTATGCATACAGGAGAGACAAAAGTGTTGCGTGTAGAAGCTATGATCAGAACCACCCTGTAATTTCGACTGCACTGCTGGTTGTTGTAATCGCACCGGAGGAGTCATGAGGATTATTTTTCCTGCGAGTCATGGTTACAGTGATCCAAATGTTTGTCTCGCTTTATGCAGATTTTCTGCCACATTAACTGAATCAAAGTCTTGTCTGTGGTTGAATGAGCTCGAGCTTTGTCTCCGCACAACCAGACATCAACAGCATAACACTGGAGTTGAGTTTGTAAAGGTGTGTGAGGCCTTTTCAAACAGAGCTCAATCACTGCTGTGTCTCCTGCTCGGCCCAGACCGTTGGCATTAATATTTACATTACCCACATTGTTGTATATCAGGAAAAATTCCAGGTGCTTAGCAACGCAGTGATGATCCCGGCCATTGTTTGTGTGACGACCAATAAAATGCTTAAAGGTTGAGTGAGCTCTGAATGGAGCTTTTTGTCTTTAGACCTTCCAGCTACAGCTGGATGTGAAGTTTCTGACCTCTGCTCGCAAGAATTTAACATTGTTTAAAGGTCCAGTGTGAAACATTGAGGAGGATCTGTTGGCAGAAAGAGAATATAATATTTATAGGTATGTTTATTTAGTCTGAAAATAAGAAAAGGGTTTTTGTTACTTTTAGAATGAGCTGTTTTTATTCACAGATGGAAAAAAGCTCAGAAAAAAACAATATAACAGGGCATTATTTTAAATTTTAAATTTAAAACTCCCCTGCTTCACAATATAAACCAACATATAAACTAACAGAAGCCGCAGTTCCTCTAACACCCACTAGGGGCTGGCTCCAGCAGTGAGTCAATCTGTCCAACTTTACAGCAGAAATAAACACGTTTTTGTCTCTGTAGATAATTTAGGTGAATTCTTGTTATATTAATGCTTAAAGTTGTGTATAATTAAAGGTGTTGCTGCTTTCAGTAACCAGACCAGACCTCTCGGTGGATGTCACAGAGACTACATCCATAATTAAATATTCAGTCTGTAGTATGAGCCAAGGTCGCATTAATAACTTGCTAACATCAGAATCAAGCATTGTCAGAAAACAGAGCCTCTTGTTGCTGATTCTACATCCAGGTCCTTGGGGGTTTTGCTCAGTTCTGATTCTGTTGCTCTCTGCAGGTATATGATGATGAGGGACTGCTGGAATGCTGTACCCTCTCAGAGACCCACATTCAAACAGCTGGTGGAGGATCTAGATCGCTGCCTGGCCATGACGGCCAACCAGGTCAGTCCTCCTCTCCTCGCCGTGCACGGAAGAAGCAGAAGCGTCTGTTGTTGTAGTGAAGCTTTAATTTTATTATCCCTCTTGTTTCAGGAGTATCTGGAGCTGTCAGTGCCTCTGGACCAATATTCCCCCAGCTACCCGGACACCCGCAGCTCCACCTGCTCCTCCGGCGAGGACTCGGTCTTCTCCCACGACGCCGGAGCCGAGGAGCCCTGCCTGCCAAAGTTCCCACCCCACTCCAACGGGGCAGCCATTAAGAAACGCTGATACCTCATCTCCATTCAGACAAACATTGACATTTCCTCCGCTCCCTGCCTCATGGGGTTGGACTCTTCCCCACATTCCCAGAGATGAAGCTAAATAAAAAAAAAAAGAAAAGAAAAGGAAAAACAACATAAAAACACTGGTGCTCTGTTGAGAAAGAAAGCCCGGAGGACACCTCGTAGAACTTATCGGATCACGTGGACTGAAGAGCGCAGCCCGGTGACGATGTTTATGGGGCACTTTGTATTAACGGGAGTTTGTCTGCGGCGTCGGGGCGGGAGGAGGGAGGGAGGAGGGTAAAAACTCTCCTCTTTGGGCATTCCACGGGTCGGGAGAATCGAAAAAGGACTGACGATTTGTCAGGTTTTTGTTGTTGTTGTTGTTGTTGTTGTTGTTTTTCCCTTCATGGTTGTTTTTTTTTTTTTCAGTCGTAGCGAAAGGCAACGTTCTGCTTTTCAGACCAAAATCCAGAGAATCCACCACCAACGGACACGCAGCATCATTCACTTACCCTCTTGTACATACAGTTAGAAAATTATAAATATGAATATATATTTACATTGTACTCTTATTTTTATTACATAATGATTTATTTTCTTTTGTACAAGGATGCTTTTTTTGTTTGATCCATTTTTTAATATAGTCTGTAGGGGCAGTTGTTACATGAGAATATCTTTAAATTGCTGAGGATTACATGGCCAGTTTGTCCCCCCCCCTCCCCTAAAATTTACTGCATAATCATCAATGGAAAATATATATATTGGGTTTTCTATTTTTTAACTGTACGTGCTTTTCATGACACAAGCTGAAATACAGTGTAAGTCAGTGTTTGGGGTTTCTGGTCAGTGGACTTTGCAGCTTTTCAGACTACCGTTTATAAATATGGGGAACAAAATGGGTCTTTTTCTTTCATTTTCTGTCTTATTTTTAAAAGAAAAAATGGAAAAGAGGTAGTTTTTGTTGTGTTTTTACAAACAAAATGGAGAAAACGGGCTGTTTTCTGGTTTTCTGTCTTAGTTTCAAAATAAAAGCTCAGAAAACAGGTCGTTTTTTTCATTTTCTGTTTATTTTTTAGACAAAAAAACAGAAGAATTAAATTTTTTTTGTTTTTACGTATTTTTTTTTCAGAACAAAATACGTAAAACAAGTCGTTTTCTGTTTTTTTGTCTTTCATGTTTGTAAAAACAAACGATCGGAAACGGCTAAAAACAAAAATCTGTTGGCCTCAAAGTCCACTGACTGTTCCCTCCAGCAGAAATGGATTATACATAGTGTGTGTGTGTGTGTGTGTGTGTGTGTGTGTGTGTGTGTGTGTGTGTGTGTGTGTGTGTGTGTGTGTGTGTGTGTGTGTGTGTGTGTGTGTGTGTGTGTGTGTGTGTGTGTGTGAGAGAATGTGTTGTTTCTTTTTATCTTGTCTCATCCAAAATTGTTCATTTCCTTTAAGGATGGTCTCAACTGTAAATATTCCTGGTTGTACGCCATGCTTGTTAAAATCCAGAGTGATTTCAGTCAACGTCGTGCACTTCCACTGTGCATGCCTTCCTTCCATGTGATGAACTTTCTTTCTACTGTAAACGCTTTAACAGGAGTTACGTTCGCTGCCGTATGACTTCTGACGAAGGGGTTGCAGAACACGTATGTCATCGTAAAAAAGGATTACATTAAATAAAAATGCTATCGAAAAACAAACCGCACAAGCTTTCAGCATTTGAACTCGACTCCATAAACGGCTCTATAAATATCTGGATTCTCATGTTTGTGATGTAAATCATGTTTACAGAGGTTGGAAACGGTGGCTACTTCAATCTCCCACCCATTTAACACGGGTTGCCGGGGGCTTATTAGATATGATAATGTGCTGCTGACATCAGAAGAAATGTTGGCGAGTGCTGGAGAGCCACAGCCGGCTGTAAACGTGTAATTTATGGTCGTGGGAATGGCTTGGCGAGTGCTGGTGCTACACTTCCATCCATCAGCTGCACCAACCTTGATGCCTGTGTCTGCCTCTGGCTTCCTGCCATTGGCTGATGCATCACCTGGACTGCAGTGTCCACGCAACAGGCTAAAATCAGCCGCACAGCGCGACTGGCTCTCGACCTTCTTTTAAAAGCCGGCTCTTACAGCTCGGGTCAATGCTGTTAGCCTCCTGTGTGTACTGTATTACAGCGGGGGGGGGTTGTTTTATTTGTTAATAGAGAACAGATCCTTGTTGCTTTTATATGAATTCAAGCTGCTGGGATTTGTAAATCAACACCGACAGCACACGTCATGGCCTTCAAGGATACAAGGCCACCTCCAGACTTCCACACACACTTCCAGGATTCAATCAAACACACTTCCCACTCTTTCTTTTTTTTTTTAACATCATTTTCCAGGAGGAGTTTTCCGCACATCACTTGCTCACAAACGTCATAAAAGCTGCGATTTCACGCACATTGACGACATTAATTTGGCCTCAGCTCATCAGAAACAGTTCAAATCGAGCAGGATTCATATTATTTAGCAGAAAATTCATCTTCTAGACAGTTAAAGTGTTTTTACGTACAATTAATATCACTAAGCTTGTATTTATTAACCACATTTGATGCTATATGTGTGTAGATGTGAGATATAGACTTGATGACGGAAAGCTCGCTACAAGAGTTTATGTATCCGATCTGAGCGAAGGGCTAAAATATACATATTTCCAGGATATTTGGTCATTTTAATCAATTTCCACACTGCAAAAACAGCCTTTCTAGAAACCAAATATTCTTCAATGAAATGTCTTGTTAAGCAAAAATAATTGCCAATTTTGCTTTGCTCGAACTCTTAAAACTAGCCACTGAAATGCTTTAATTGGCCTTAAAACTAGAAAAAAAAAGCCAAACATTTAAGTGAGTTGTGCTCATTACAAGCAATGAAAACTAAGTTATTTAAGATCCTTAAAATAAGTCTTTTGGTCACTTTATTGAGCTGTGAAAGACACAAAACTGCACAATAGAAAATTTGTCCTAAATGAAGGGCATTTCATATTTATTATTTATTATTATTATTAAACAGCTGCTTCATTTACATTTACTCCAGATTACTTTTCTAATGCAAAACAAACCTGAGAAGATTATTTTTAGACCAATTATAAGATTTTATTTTGCGTTCTTTAGATTCTTTATTTTGTTTTTGCAGGTGCATGACTGGAAAACTCTAAATTTCCAGGTTTTCCAGGATGTTTGGGAACCCTGAAACAAACATATTGACTTAAGGGTGGGGGAGCGGGGAGAGAAATATCATCCACTCCTGGAAACGGGGAGTTATAAAAAGTATGATCTGTGCGGTGGCTGAGGTGATGATGAAGAGCTCTATTTAAGGATGGAAAGGATGGGAGCGGCTTTATAACCCGCTAATGGCGAGGGGGCAGAGGGGGCCGAGGTGCCATTAGGTGGAGGCTGTTATCACTTCGGGGACAGATGGTTGAGGAAGAGTTCGACGGAGCAAAGTTCATCAGCTTATGTTTTTATTTTGTTTGTTGTTCGATGATCGAGGAAAGTGGCAGTATCTAATTAAGTTGTTTCTAATCGCCGAGATGAAAGAAGACGGGACTGCTATGTCCTGTTTTTGTCTTCTCGGAGGAATGACTAATTGGGGGGGAATGCAAATTGATTTGGGAATTCTGGAATTTCATCCAGCCGAGCGTTACCCAGTAATTAGTACGTTGAGCTCCAGGAACACCCTCGTCGGAGTCTGATTTATGTCCCATTATTGCAGCTGCTTATTCCTTAAAACTTTAAAAAAGACAATACAAATAAAACTTCTTCTTTCAATCTGGATGGAAACAAAATGTTATACGGGGATCAATCAGAAACATACGCTGTCCTACAGAGCACATCAAGAGTTATCTAATAGTAAAACTTATGTACGTCCTCTTGTTATTTCCTATTTAGTTTCCATTTATTTCTGTTTGTCTTTAAAATCACATCCTCACTTATAGTTTCCCTTTTTAACCAATTTATGCCAAAAATAATGAACAAAAGGCAGTTGTTAATAAGTAGCTAAATGAAACAGAGATTGACATTTAAACACTCAAACTTTCCTACTTGTAGATTTTAAGTACAATATTAAACTAGACCTACAAACAACAACAACACAACAAACCACAACAAACAAAAGGCTATGGGAAAGGCTATTTTATTGGGTTTTTTTCAGGATTTTTGCCACAAAAAGAGGCCGATTTGTGCCAAATTTTGCTCAAAGCCTCAGTCGGGAATGACGAACTACCGCCCCAAGCTTTCTGTTAATCGGACAAACCTACACAGAGATACGACATCACTTCCTCTTTGACGCTACGAGAAGTTGTTTTGCTTTTTACTTTCACGCTTAAAAAAAATCATAAAAGCGGCGATAATTGGTGAAGATCAGCTTGTTGAAGAAAAAGAGGTTATTTTCTGCAAATATTCCAAAATCTAATGGGGAAAAAATCTAATTTTTGCTTTTTATCCAACGATGCTAACTTCTCTGCTACTACTATTCATTTAAATCAGTATTTTCTATAATAGTTAGCCGGCTGGCTGCTCCTGCTCTAAATGAATCTTCTAAAGTAGTTCATTTGTAATATTTCAGTTAATCGTCACATCTCGAAGCAGAACTGTACATCTTCTTTTTAAAAAGTCAGTAATATGAGCAAGATGAGACCCAACGCCCTGTTAGATGAATCACTCTGTGTTCTTGTTTACCAGCTTTTGATTTATTCCAGTTTTAAGGTTTATCATCTCCAGGTCTAGAGAGAGAGAAAGAGAGAGAGAGAGAGAGAGAGAGAGAGAGAGAGAGAGCCTCGCCATTAATCTCCACCATGTGTGTTTCCTGTCAGCGGTGACAGATGACCTGCCCTTCAACTCTCTGCCACCACCCGTTGGAGGAGACACGTCGTCAATCAGAGATCTTTTCTCAGCCGTGGTTAGGAGCGAGAGGGTCCTTTGGGGGGGTGTTAGCGGTGGTGATGATGATGATGATGATGATGGTGGTGTGTTTTCTGCTTATTTCAGCCTCCAGGAAACAAGTGGCGGTGACATCAGCCTTGTTGTTGTGCACCTCTGTCTCCTCCACAAATGAACTGGTTATTTATGGCGGTGGCGAGGGACGGAACGGCGAGGAGGGTTTTTCAAGCAGTGCAAAGAAATACTCATGAATATCAATCTGGCCGGCGTCCATGTGCAAGGTGAAGGAGACATGTCTCCTAGTCCTGGCGTTCTTCCTCCTCCTCCCCTCCTCCTCCACGCCAAACGCCAGCGTTAAGCGTGTGAGGGTAACCGCAGCAGACAGATTGTTGTTGATTGCAAAACATCAGAGGAATGTTCATTTTCTGTTGTTTGCACGCTGTGACAGACCCCCCCCCCCCACAGCCTCGTTAATAACAGTTAAAGATGATGGACAGTTCTGTGGTTCATCAAAATACTTAATTATTATTTATATGTATTTTTTTATCACTAAACGCTCCGTTGGCCTCCTGAGGTGTAGGACGTGACAGAGGAAGGCGGTCGGCGTCCCCCCCCCTCCGTAAAAAAAAGGGTCCCGGGCCCCTGTTTTGCGAGATGGCTGTCTGTGTGACGGGTCCCCGGTGCCCACGCCGCTCTGTGGGGACAGACACAGCGGAGAAGGGGTGAGCCTCGGGGCCACGGCCCGTCACTCACTGCGGGTCTCACTGTTCCTTCTTTCTTTTCTCCACGTCACAAAAAAAACAACAAACACAGGCAGATAAGTTTGTAGAGGATGTATCTGTACGGCGCCACCAGGAGCACTGTGGGTAACAGCTTTAGATTACAGTTAGTGACGACTTTATCGTGTTTTTGACACAGGAACGCCGCCTGAAGTCGGATCTCCAACTAGTCAGTAAAACCTCCCCAACCCCGACCTCAAACGCCCCGTGGGTCATCTAAGTGAAAACTGTTGTATTATAATGTTTATATATATATATATTTATATATATGAAAGGGTTAATTAAAGTTTGGTTTAATTCTGTCATAAAACAAACGACACACAAAGAAAAACTAATGAACAAACAAAAAGATTTAATCCAACACTGAACACGATCCCAGTTACAGAGAATATAAAGTCTGTTGTTCACCCTTCTTTTATTTAATTACAGTTTTGGGGGGGTTATAGGCTGTAATTAGTAGAATTACTTATGAAAAACACAGAAAAGTAAACAGCTATTGTGAAAGGACTCATAGGCCTGCACACACCCTGTAATTATTGTATATCGGGTCATTTAAAAAGTACATATCTGTAAAGGAAGAAATCTTTCAGCACGTTATCTGGCAGCAAAAACAAACTGCTGGCATGATTTGTGGAAGGCGTATGTTCGCGGCGTCTGGAGGCACGGGTGTGGTCAGGTAAATGAGATGAGTGAGGGTGTTTGTTTGGTGTTACGTGGGGGGAGGAGGAGGGCAGTGTTAGTGGTGTCTGCCCCGACAAGGTGTGTGTTGGCGTCCAGACAAAAAAACGACGCCTACAGGCATGGCCCCGCCTCTTTCCCACCGGATCGACTTTCTTCAGCGCAGGAATGAGACACAGACACCTCCTCCAGGCTGAGACATATAATCTGGGCCTGTCAGGGCCTTTATCAAACAGGATCAACTGGTGCGCTGCGCCTTTCTCCGCAGTCCCCACAGGCAGCAGGATACCTGCACACACATTCCTTCGACACATCCCCGTCC